CCCGTGCCGCTGGGTCGGAGGCCGGGTCGCTGCGCCCGCGCCGGCCCGGGAACGGAGGTTTGGGCGAACCGTCCTCCCGGGTCTCCCGCCCGTCCCTCTTCCTCCGGACACCTGCAGCCCGAAGAAGATGCCCAAATTTGTGAGGGAGAAAAGCGGGTCCCAGGGGCGCTGGAGATCTTGGGGTTCACCTTGGGAAAGTCCTGGTTACATCGAGGGTGCGCTCGAGAGCAGAGTGGGGTCAGGGTTTACACGCGCAGTTGGCGGCGCAAAAACGCCTCTCCCCGAAGGTAGCGCCCACGGGTTTCCTCTGATTGCGGATCCCCTGGCGAAAAAAGAACGAAACCAAACCGCTGATCTTCCTCACTGCCAAAGTCGGTTTCAGGCGTATAAGTTTTGAGGGTCTCAAAAATCAAAACACAGTTACAGGCGAGGACAGGTTAGTTTTGTTGTTGTTTGTTTTTGTTTTGTTTTTCCAGGTGATATTTGCAAAAAATAGTGCTTGTAAATAATTTTTGAATCTAATACATCTACAGAAAAGTCGATGTAGAAGCCCACTTTTGACGTAATTTGAATAACTAAATTTCCTGACTTCACTCTAATTCTTGTGTTGTTATTTTGAATTTGCAGACAGATAAACTTCTATTGAATTGTATAGCAATCTTAAAAATTATTGTTGCCTGTTCACATTAAGTTTGTGGTTGTTTTTTTCTCTTGTTTTTAATTTGAGGAACTGTTGGATGAAAATACCGCTTGTGCGGTAGAGTACAGTAACTTGGCATTATTCTTTGTGGCAGTACAAAAACCAAACAAGAACTACATAAAAATTGGATCTCGGTTTGCACTTTGCAAAATGAAGGGAGTTAGCCTCTCCCAGATCCCAGATAATCTCTTAAGGTTCTTTCCTGTCCTGAGAATTCGTTATATATATCTTCCAGAGTTGGGGATACAAACATTAATTGAAATCTATATTAAGCTATCTGCCCACAAATGTTTCTACATTTAAATGGAAGACACTTGATAGTTGAGTTTCTTTAATTATTATTGGTCTCTCAGAATAGCTGAATCATTGGCATCCTGTGCTCTCACGTGGTTATGTTGTATGCTACTAAATAAAAATGGATCTTGAACCCCCAAATCCCATATTCCTTGCTACAGGACTGCTAGGGTTGACACACGAGAGCATTCGTGCCTGCTTGTTTTGAAACTGTCTGCAGGAAACATCAAGAGTGTTACGAAGCATGTGAAGCATTTACTAAGATGTACAAGGACATGTAAGCAACATTACAGGCAAGAAATTTCCAAACTGCTTTGGAGAATACGTATGATGCGTTTGCAAGCCAGAAAATTGCAGTTGAGGTAGTTTTGGTAATTATGGTATTGATCAACTGGAATTATGACCTATCAGAGAATGAATTTGCCTCTAATAGGTAAGCATATTGAATCAATTAGCCCCCCCCACCCGGCAAGAAAAAATAAAATGTTTCTCCCTTTTGTCTGATCAGTTACAGCAAACTGTCTAAAGTGAAAATTGCAACAGGTATTCTCTAGGGGAGGGGGAGAGAAGTTGTTGTTTTAAATCACCCAGTGTGTGTAACAGTGATGTGTCCTCCTCTAACCCGGAGAAGCCAGGGCTTGCAGCACACGCACCCAAAGCAGAAGCAGTCCTTTTGTGTTCCTTACAGAGTAAAGATGCCACTGGCACGCACTCTGGAACTGGTGGGGTGGGATAGCCACAAAAGGGACTCTGGAGCAGGACTACCACAGAGGACAAGCAGGTGGCGGAACCTACCGGAGACTCCATTTCTCAGAGCCTGTCTTCTGCTCTGAACAGAGCTGAACCTCAGCTCTGCAGTGTGAGACCTTTTGAGTACTGATGTGATGCTCAAAAGCTCCAGGTTTTGGATTATTTCAGATTTGGAACTTTCACCTTAAAGATACTCAAGAGGTAAAGTCTATGCAAATAGCTCCTCCCTCACCCCCACCCACCCCCACCCCGCCAAAGTGTGAAATTTGCAACACTTTTAGTCCCATGCATTCTGGATATGGGACACAATCTGTAGTAATGTTTAGATTGTGGAGCTACTGGGTCTCCTTGGTGGGTCAGTGTTTTTGAGATTTAGTGTCTGCATGTAATATAAGACAGCACAGCTAATCTTGGATCTCCTTGCCCTCATTAGAAGTTGTTTATTGACTAAACAAATTGTAGGCTGAAGAGTAGGATATAGTGTTGATTTCAATTTTCATAAATTTTTATATTTGTTTTTGGTTTTTGAAACGTGATCTCACTATGTAATTCAGGCTTGCCTTGAACTCACTGTGCAGCCCAGGCTGGCCTTAAACTCCTAGTGATCTCCTGCCTCAGCCTCCCAAGTGCTGAAATTACAGGCATGTGCCACCATGCCTGGCAATTTTCAGAAATCTGATGTGACAAAAACTTGGTGTCTGTTGAATCTGGCTAATGGTTATATGGGTAATGGGTTTATTATGTACTATTTTCTCTGATTTGTTTATGTTTAAAATTATTCATCAGAGGGCAGGGGATTTAGCTCAGTGGTTCTGCCACCTGCCTTGCAAGCTCAAGGACCCAAGTTCAATCTCTGTTACCAAAAAAATAAAAAATAAAAATAAATAAAATTATTCATCAGAAAAAATTAAGTGAAAATCTGAAAAAGCAGGAGACATTTATATTCCACATTTCATTGTTACTTATATATATTTTGATTAGTATATGTATTTTACATATTTAAATATGGATACTTGAATTATCAGTGATGATTGGAGTGGATGAGCAGCGAATGGCCTAGAGGAAATCCGCAGTGGTCTTCAATGTTTTGTGGAATTTTTCTTTTTTATGAAAAAAACTAATGAAAATATATCATTGTTTTGTTCTGTATGTTGGGGTCACAGATTTTTACAGCGTTCTTTGAGACTTTTACATTTGAAATTTTGAGCCAGATGTGGGAGCACACACCTATAATCTCAGCACTCAAGAGGCTGAGCGTGAGGATTGCCATGAGTTCAAGGCCAGCCTGAACTACTGTGCATAGCAAGACCCTGTCTCAAAAGGCGGGAGCGGGGAGTATAGTTCAGTGCAAAAGCTCTGAGTTCATTCCACATGGCCACAAACGAATGCAGGAGGAAAAAAAAAACAAGAAAAATTAATACAAAAATTACCTTATTGCTTTCTAAAATCAGTATAAAGAATGCAAACAATGAATATAATATAAATATGAAGAAAAAAATAGAAGCCTACCATTCAGGAGTACTCACCTTTAATATTAAGTGAAAATATTCGATATGTCTTTCTATGCATTTGTACAAAAAGATACATTGATAGAGGACAGAAATGTTTTTATAAAAGATAGGATTATTAAGAGAATTAGCCCGAGTCTGTCTCCCTATTTGAGTTCCTGTATAACAAACTGCAGCTTAATTTTGTATGTGAACAAACCAAAAACTAATTTAAGAGTATATTTTTTGATAACAGATAGCAAAGTTTCATCCAGAGACAAGACGATGAGTTTCAGCCAATCACAGGCAGCCACCTCACCACACCATGTCTGGGACAGCAAATGCACAGTGGTAGCCAATGCACAGCTGTAACCAATCAAGTGCTTTTTCTACTTTGCTTCCATCTTGCGCTTACGGAAGTTTGCTGCTTCTGCTGCTGAACAGGGTCTGAATCTCTTCTGATTCCAAATACTGGCTCATTCATGAACTGGTTTTTGCGCAAATAAACACTACAATTGAAAGTTTTTCTTTTCGGAGGACAATAAGAGATGCTTTTTAAAAATAAAAATTTAACAATATTTTCAATAAAAGAAGGAACTGTAGTCAAAGTGAAGGAATCACTGAAGTTAACATCAGTGTTTCTATATCCTGATAGCTAATAGGTCCTGAGCAAATCTTCCAAATTAAAACAAACAAACAAACAAACAAACCTGGATAGACTTCAAGATCAGATTGTTTAAATTTACATGTATTAGTTTAGTCAGTGAATACCAGTTAGAAATGAGGACGCATTGGCACTT